AAAAGGTGTTTTTTATAAACACCCAAAAAACGAAAACACGTGTGCTCAAAGCAGACCCTTTTTAATGAGATTCATCCTTCGAATCCCCTTAACAACAAAATATGAGATTTTTTGTGCTAATTATAAAAAACCCATTTACTCCCCTTTTTTCATCACTTTTCCTCCTCCTCTCTCTCTCTCTCTCTCTCAAACCGGAGCTTCTCATCTCTCTCTCATTCTCTCTGAACACCTAATACTCCTCGTCTCTCTCTCTCTCTCTCTCTCTGTGAAATCGAAGTGACGAAATCGAGGCTTCTCATTATAGATCTCTTTCTCTCATCTCAATCGGTGGTTATGTGATGGGTTTCCTCATCTCAGATCTCTCTCCCAAGCTCAGTCGGTGGTTAGGTGTTGAATTTTTAGGAGTGCTGGTGGTGGGTTAGGAGGTTGTGATGGGTTTTCGAGCCTTGGGGGGTGAGTTTTCGGTGGTGATTTTGGTGGGTTTTCTAGGGTTGGGGGTGAGTTTTTAATGGCGTTGGTGGTGACTTTTCGGTAATATTGGTGGTGTATTTTTAGGGGTTTTGGTGGTGGGTTTCCAGGGGTGTTGCTGGTGGGTTTGGTGGTGGCTAAACAGGGGCGGTGGTGGTGGGTTTCCGACGGTTTGGTGGTGGCTGGGTGAAGTGGGTTTCATTGATTAGGGAGAAGATGTATTTGTGATTACAAAAAATTAATCAAAATAACTACAATGAATTATGAAAACATTATTATAATATCAAACATATTTTTTTTTAATTTTTTAAATATAAATGATTATCGAACATGTTTTATATTTTTAATTTTTATCACAAAAAAATACAAAAATTTATTCTATTTTATTTTTAAAAAAAAAACATAAAAATGAAAATTTTATCAAATGATCCCTAATACGTCAAGATTTGAGTTCCATCACTAAGTGTTTTTTAGACTTGTTAAAAAGGTAAAATCTTATTAACCGAAGGTTGTGTATTATTGCACGCTTATGATAATTAAGACTATGTAAATATTTACTCTGCTCACAAAAAATTTCATCAAAAACAAGTTTGGTTGTGGAATAAAAATCTAATTTTCCATCCCTATCATATATATATATATATATATATATATATATATAATAAATAATTTTTTTCATGCCACCTTAGTTGGACTTAGGATAGACTTAAGTAATAATAATCATTAGATTAACAATAAGTTATAATATTAGTTAAGTCCAGTCAATGAATAAAAATGCATTAGAAAAATAAATTAAATTAATAAATTAAGTAGGTCTAAATAATAAAAATAATAAATATTATTATTATTCAAATAACTCTAATCACACCAACTTTTTTTTTAATATTTCGATTAATTCTCTCTATAATTTGAATTCGATCAAAAGGTTTATGTTATAAATAGATATGACTCAAAAAAAATTATTAAAATTTAAATTCAAAATATTTAAATTTACCATGTTTCTACTAAACTCACACCAACCTTCTTTCCACACTAATTAAAAGTTAAGCAATGAAAAAATCACCAACCATCGAAGCAATCAGCTGCCAAGAAAAAAATGTTGAATAGGATTGACACGAGGAAAACAAGAACACTGCATGCAGGCTATTTCCAAACAAAAGACAAAATACAGAAACAGAAAATGAAAAGCTGCAAAAAGATCAAAAGATTGATGGGAGAAAAAGAAAAAGGAAAGAGAAAATACCCACAAATTGCCAAACACTTTTCAAAATCACAAACAAGCCCTCTATTTACTCTTCTCTGTAAATTTTCTGTTCAAAATGTATACAACTGACCAAACCCATTAACCCCAAACCCTAACAACACCCTAACCCCAAAAATTTCGCTGTGCCCTTCTTTACTGTTGTCTATTATTTTTACTGTGACTGAAACTAGTCTTCATCTAGAAACTTCGCCAACAAATCATCATCATAGTCGCCGGAGAAATCACCGCTGCCGATTCCTTTGACCGAACTACCCTCCTCATTTTCCCGATCCTCGATCCAACCACGCGCCTCTTCGGCGTCTGAAGAGAACGCGACAGCTTCCTCCACCGAGAACCACCCTGAAAACCCCCCAAACGCGCCCTTAACACCACTCATATCGATACTTGCCATGACGGACGAATCCAAGTCGGAGAACGACGATCCGCATGACTCTTCGTTTCCGTTGATGGTTATATACGACGACGATGACTGGAAAATCAAAGCCGACGAGTATGGGTCCTCGATGAACTTGACCTTGAATGGTTGCGAGGTCGTTATCTCTGAGTCCAAGAACTTCGATAGTTCGGTCACTGTGTCATCGTCGACGTTTAGCCAGGCCATCATGTCTTCGTCTTCGTCGGAGATTGTTTCTTCGTAGTTCGACGGCGTTTTTGGTCGTTTCCCGAAGACGTCTCCGGCGCCATCATACCCCGCTTGCCTCTTTCTGCTTTCTTCCATTTCTTCAAGAGAGAAAGAGACAACACTGGCTTCTGGGTGGTTCTTTAGAGCGATTGTTCCCCTAATATAGACCCATTTCTATGGGTGAGTACAGAGATGAGAGAGAGATAACGGACTGCATACGTAGAGTACTAGAAGTGGGTGTGTAATGTGCGTGAGCAGTAGAGAGGGAAAGGAGTTGGGCTTAAAGGACTATAAATAGAGGGTCTGTTGTGTGTGTGAGAGATAGAGAGAGAGAAGGTGCCAGGGTGTGAGGGAAGGTGCCAGGTGGGTGGAGACGGATCGGGAGAGTGACGTGGTGGGTGGTTAAGGCTTGTGACGTGTCAAAAATGTTTCTGAAAATTATTATTAAAAATTGAAATGGCGGGAAACTGCATACTGAATTGGTGGTTCAGAAAGGACTGCCAAACAGGCAGTCCTCTCTCCTCTGGTGAAATAAAAGTAAAGTTGATCTCGAGAAACGTTTAAATTATTTCGGTTTTAGAACTAGGTTTAAATATATTTATTTTTAATTATATTTAATTTGTCTATTCATTGGAATTACCAATTGGTGATCATTTAGTGTTAATTTATTTATAACTAACGATACCCACGAGAGAAGTTATTATATCCTAAATTCTGATATTACGCGTGCATTAGAATATGTGTACAACTAGAATATATATATATATATATATATATATATATATATATATATATGTGTGTGTATATAATGAGTGTGTATTGAAGTATGTATAGTTATGTATTATGGAATATTTGTGTTGGGTTTGTGAATTTTGGGAAGAAAATGTGTGATGGGTGTGTAAAATTTAAGGGAAAAATATACCCCCATAAATTTAAACTCCTAGTTATCTTATTTTATAGATTTAAACACCTAGTTATCTTATTTTATAGATATGTATAATTATGTGTAATTTTATATTATATTTCACTTATAGCATAAAATACACTTCTAATTGGAAAATATGTATTTAGTTCACAATCTTTTAATTGTATCTATTTGGTCATTAAGATTCCTAATTTGTGTCTAAGTGGTCAAATTCCAAACGTTTATCAGAAAATCGTCACGTTTCTGGTCACACGTTCATCATGTGGTTCCTAATTTTATGTCTATTTAGTCCTTAAAATTTTAATTTATTTTATTTCACTTTTAAAATTCATAATTTGTGTCTATTTAGTCCCACATGATTGGCGTATGAACAAATACATTAACGATTTTGTATGGACGTTTGAGATTGGACCACATAGATACAAAAATAAGAATTTCAGAGATTTAATAGACATAATTGAAAGATTGAGGACCAAATAGACTCTACACACATACTTTGGGGGTTGAATGTATATTTTACTCTAAATTATATTTACTCAAGTTTGTCTTATGCTCAACCAGATTCTGTTGAATTATTTATGAAACTGGACAAATGAGACAATTCATTTATGAATTAGATCAACTGAGATCAAATGTATACTTATTGATTTTTTGTCGATTTCATATTGAGTAGATCATTCATCATTGATAAATAATTTTTAGAAGAGATTTCACCAAAATAATTACAAGCTCTATTATTCACATATTTTACGTAAATTAATCTTAGGATAATTGAAATCGATGGTTGTTCTTAAAAAAGATCGAAGATTTATTGGTGGGACAAAAGAGAATAAGACTAATCGGGGTAGTTTAATTGGTAATAAAGATGAATTATAAATTCAGATATCTTAAGTTTAAATATTATTAATTTTTTAGGGTCAAGACATGAGAGATTTAACATTTATGAATACCTTAGTCCCGATACGAATAATCTATTTTTGATCGAATTAAGAAGAAGATTAATTGAGATGCACGTAAATTGAATCAAATAATCCATACAGTTAAAAGAAAAAAGAGAAATTAAGACTTGGTCGAGTTGATTTTGGGGTCTCGCCCTTGGTGAAAGAATAATAAAAAGAGTAAGACCAACACATTCAATTTATGGGGTTTTCTCTACCCTACCTACCCAGTATCTCTTGAAGATTAGGATGATTAGGTAAGTGAGACTGAGGCATGTTTGTTTAGCTTTTATGTACCTAACTATTCAAGCATCATCCACTTGCTTGAATGTTAGAAAAAAACAGGTTTGCTATACCGACGTGGCACAACGGACAAAATACTTCAACGTACGGAAGAAGCTAGAAACCGGGTAGGCAATGTTTGCTATAGCCTTTGACAAAGCGGTTTTAATTTGAGGCGGAGGAAGGCCGATGCGTTGTTGACGTTAGTTGGGAGTCAGTCAAATGCGATTCGCAGCTGCATCGTAAGTCTATACACGGGCCGTTATGTGTTACGATAATAAGACTAATAACTCCGGATAATAAATAATTGAATTTATTAAATTTAGGATTAATTATTTTTTACTCCCACATAGTTTTAGCTAAAATTTTTTTTATTTATTTTACATTTAAAATTATACATATTATCCTTTTATAATTATGTACTTATTAAAGTAAAATAATTAACGACATTAATAGAATTAAAAAATTACCATAATATCTACGTTTTAAAATTAAACGTTTTGTTTGTTATACTTTTGACCATAAAATTAATAAAACATGACAACAAACTTACACATTTCAATCAAATATGTCGAGTCTCTTTGTTCTTCGAGTGAAGTTTTGATCTAAGATTGAAAATTACTTTTTTTTTTACATTGTTTTATCTGCGACTGATGCCCTACTTATTTAAGTATTATATCATATATTATAAAGGGTATTTTAGACACTTACACATTGTTCTTTTGAAGGTAAACAATAGAAATAAAGCCAGAACATATTTTGGGCATGTGGAACACATTCTCCATTTACTTGGACAATAAAAGTAACTATTTAACTTTGCTACTAAACTACAAGAGGGTAACATGTATAATTTTAAGAGTAATGTTATATACACTTAAAAATTAGACTTGATAATCACAACTATTAAATAAGTAGTAGATCTCTATAAATGCTAAGATCTACAATGAAATTATTTATTATAATTATTAAGTTTAATTTTTAAATTTATGTAACATTGCTCTAGTTGTAAGCGTCAAGTAGGTAAAATTCTTATAGCCGAAATCACGAGGGGTAAAAAATAATTAAGCCTTAAATTTATCATATAATTTTATCGATACAAATCTGTTGCTCGATTTACACCCAAATTAAATTTTACAAATGAACCAAATATAAATTGCATAAATTTTATCATAATACAATTTAAATATGATACAAACCGGAGACGAACCCGATTATCAGTCCTATTCTATACTGTCACTATGCAAATTCGAATGGTGAAATCAAACAACTTGTTTCTTTTAAAAAAAAATCATTAAGACAGCTAGGTGGTTTGGGTTGTAAAATTGGAAGTTAACAGTTCGATTAGTTTGATGTGATGTGCATGTATAAATTCGAAATTTTGGGATTATACTCTTAAATAGGTCAGTATCACATAGACCTTGCAACAACTGCTACACAGCATTGGATTTGTGTTAGTTGATACGGGTTATAACTACATTGACTTAAACTCATTGTATGAACTTTGTATAAGTTGTGAAAATTTTGACGTAATGCAACATTGTCCTTCATCGGTAAGGTAATGTTCACAATTTTTTTTTGGTTCAAGAACATTCACATTACAATCCTACAACATTCACACAATTCAACAAAGTAAAAGAATTGTATGTACTCAATTTTCTCATTTGTGAATAGAACATTTCAGGGAATCGAAGTTTAGATGTTTTGCTTTGAAAAATAGAACTCTTAATTCAAAAAATGTTATGAACACACTTGGATACTCATCCACATTGAATGCCGAGGAACAACTAGGGATGTAACATTTTTGTTCTCGGAAAATGTTATACATATCAAAATAATTTTAATTGTTTATAAAATTATCATCTCATTTGATAAAAATATTTTTTAATAAAAATTTTGATAACTCTTTCCACTTTCCTGGAAGACTAAAAAAGGCTGCGGATTCTGATAAAAGGAAGAGCAGAGAAACAGTGAGCCATTAAGTGGGGTCCGACTTGTTGGCTTATCAGTTCGACCGTTGTGGTACAGAGGTACACTGGTACTGGTAGGCATGGCATTGTTTCAGCTGTTTCTAACAGTAATGTACTAAGTGTTCGAAAAAAAAAAAAAAACAGTAATGTACTAGCATTGTTTTCTTTAGTCCCTTCATGGGCGGGCGTGAGTGAGGATCTACTGAAATTGGGTCCAACTTAAAATGGCGACATTGGGTCACTCAAAATTACACCATGATGAGAATCGAGTGGTCAGTAATCTATTATATCACCCGCACACGCACATTTTATGAATGCCGTGGAGTTGGCATGATAGTGTTGATGAATATGGATTGCTCAATTCTCATTGTGCAATTGTAGTTGACCAAGCTTCACAGTCTGAAATTTGACCCAACTAGAGGGGATCCGGAAGGCAGCACAAAATCAACGGTATTGGATATTAAAAACCGACTAGTAATATGCAATTATACAACGGTAACTAATTCATACCCGGTAACTTCTAACTAAATATGCAAATAACAACACACCAAAGCTCATACGCTGATAAGTAAACATAGAATAATCCCCACAGTGGCTCACTCTGTTACTATCCACATCAACAGAAGTCTTAAGTTTTTCAAATATGGGTCTGTTTAAACCAAATCTTACTGGAATCCTGTAGGGCTTTTATCACGTTTCATACGTCACTGCTTGAGAACAAACATGTGATGCAATCAAAAATGTTATCTTCAAATTATAAACCATAAGAAGTTCCAATTAGAGATATCAAAATTCAGACAGGACTCATTTTGTTTAACAGAATATTATCCGGGTCAACGTAAAATTAAACATAAACACCAGAAGCAAGCAGCAGGAATAAGGATCCAAAACCCTGCACCACAGAAATGAAAGTTCAGAATCAGCAATGAAAAGATTTAAAAGAGCAATTTACTATACTATGACAATTTAGGTGTAAAGATCCATTGATGTACCAAGAATACAGATGCCACCGCCCCAGTTGTGAGCTCTCTAGCAAGGCTGCGATTCCTCTGAGAGGAGGTAGCTTCATAGCTGCAATAGACATTTACTGCAGTTAGAAAGCCAGAACGTAGAAGAGGAAGGGGAGACATGAGAATTGATTCCAACAAACGCTCACAACCTCAACAATAAAATTCTTCTATATTCGAAACAAATGATCCTAACATGTCCTCCGATCATTCATGGCTTTTAAACCATGATTACCATAATTCACTAAACCCTTAACGACCCACAATTTGGGTACATTGATACCAAATGGCGTGGTTCGCGATCCAAATCATTAAAATGGACGACCCCAAAATGTAATACTAACTCTAAATTAATTCTCTTTAAACCATGTAGCACAAATATAAAATACATCATAATTAATTGCATGTATATAGATTTATAATTACATATTATTTTAGATAATAGAAAATCAAATACAACTATAAGATAAATGGTAACTAATTTAATGTTTATGAATATTTTGTAATATATAATATTCTATAATAATGAAAACGATCTACATAAGAATTCTAAAACGAATTTTGACCCAAAATACATAACAGCTAAACTTATTCCCATCGCACCGCGTACCTAAGAAATTGCCATACCATGTACCCGTACTCATATCACGTACCAAAGTAACCCATGATCTAAGTAACATTGTTTTAAACTTTAAATTTCATATCATGCTAAAGACAAAGCAATTTGTCCAACTTGTCTCTACACTAGGGTATTTTTGCAGATGAACCCTACATTTTCTTTTTGGATAGAAAACAAACCTTTCATTTCATAGAACGAAAGATGTAATAAAAATTACAGAAAATGGTGGATGAGAAATCCACCCAAAAAACAAAACAAAGAAAGAAAGACTAATGACCGAAAGCAGCCTTCCAATTGAGTTGCAAAACAGCCAAAGGGATATCACTACATTTATTTAACAATTCTGCAAAATTAAGTTCAACACCCGTGTTCCATACTTGACACACCAGCTTACATGAGTAGCATAAATACAGGTACAAGTGATATAAGCTAGCTTCAAAATTGCCATAACAACATGTATAAAATGGGCATTATGCGAAAAGGGCATTCGGGAATCCCCAAATGACCTTACCAACTATGCAGAACGAACATGGTCCTGTAATGAACCTATTTTTTTTTTTTGTTTTTTTCCTATTTAAGGTCGAATGATGTTTCCAAAACCCACAATTCTCAAATCCCTATTCACAGAACAAGGGTAGTAGTACTTCATAAATATCCGACAAACATGAACTACTTTTGCAAGCAATTGGGAAATTACTCTTCAGATCTGAATTTCAATCAGGCATTACGAATCAATAAAAAACATCAAAACAACAAAACATAATATCAAATCACATAAATACTTTTGTTAAATTGTTGTTTGAACAGGTACTTTTGTTATTCACTGGCTGAAAATTAAACACAACTGTTTCAAATGATCATCATAACAATAAAATTGCTTACATGAAAAATGAAGCGGTGACAACAAGACCGATGGCGAGCATGAAGACAGCTAGGGTTGGGTACCACGCGTCTGGGACTGGGCTAGAGATCGGTTTCACTGACTGAGCCTTCACAAATTGCAAATGTAATAGAATCAGAAAACAAAAACATACAGATATAGTAGAAAGAGAGAAACCCTATAAATTCTGGTAATTACCATGTTTTTTATTGGAGAGAGAGACACAGAGAAAGATCTTACTTTGCTTCGGCTCTTCCCTGTTGATCGTCGCGTGTGGGGAAAGAATACGAAGTCTAAACTTGGAGTGTTTTAAAAATCAGAACGAAGAGATTTTTAGGGCCACAGCTGTACATAAAAGCTCATGGACTTACTGGGCTTTGAATCCCTATCGTACCAAAATTTACTTAGTTTTATAGGTTTTTATTTTAATAATCAAGAGTGTTCACATCAGTCTTACCTCAATTAATTCTTTTTTTTTTTTAATTTGATTAAAAATAAGTCATTTACACTAAGACTAGTGTATTTAAAAAAGATAAAATTTGCATGACTGGACCCCAAAAAATTATCAATATTCAAATTCGAAATATCTGAATTTATAATTAGTTCATGTTATCACTCAAGATATCCATTGCAATTCTTAGTTTTATAGTCGAGTGAAGTTATAGCTTGTTTGAATCGTACCTGATTAATTACATAAAAATAATCTCCATTAGTTAAAATATAAAAAATTATAATTTTCATGATTGATAATAATATTTTGAAATCCATATACCTTGAATTTAAAAAATTATAGTTTTCGAATGAACACCCAAGCAAGTACTGCAGTCTTCCTCTTAAACTGAATTCAAGCCGTAGATTTTGCAGAAGTTAAGCTCTGACCGTCTATCAGGGGGAATTGAAATCGTGGAACGCAAAATTATATTTTCGACCCCTCTAAAGTAGTTTATGAGCAGTTGATTTTATAGTTAAAGTAATATACTCCAACAATTGGAGGGAGCTAAGTGAAATCAAGACTGTAGTTCATGCGGCAAAGTCTAATCAATCCCAAGTTCTCTATGAACAAAAAAAAAAAAAAAGTTCATAGCAACACTCTGGATACTCGGAACCAATTCCATTCCATGTGACACCCTATTTTCCTATGTAATTGACTCTCGTATCAGACCCTTTCAAAAGTAGTTGAAGATCTAAATCTTAAATCTCGAGTTTATTGATTCTTCAACTCAAATAAAATAAAAAAAAAGGAGCTGACAATGAAAAGAACGCATATCATCTGCTGGTGGACCGGCTGGCTCTTCCCTCCCCTCTGCATTGTGTCATAAAATGGTATGATTATCATAAAATGTTCCTTTCCCTTCCTCTGGAGCCTACATACATTTGCACTCTCTCTCAACTGTCCCTCTCTAGGATCTTTGCATTAGAGGCTGCAATGATAAAAACATGAATATCCAAACTAGTTGATCAGATTGCTTTACTGAAGAGAGGCATTTTATGGTACAAACACATGTTCTATACAAGTCAGGAACTAAGCTCTTCATCACTCCTAAACAAATCTCAATCGATCTCTAGTAAGGGCTGAATGTCTGGATCAACATTTATCATACAATTCAGTCAGTGACTCCTCAAGTTGAGATGATGACAGCCAGCCTTGATCAAAACTCTCTCTTCCCCGATAACATCGCACATTTATTAAGGTTAGTTTGTAGTGGACTTTGCACTTGTCCAAAATATGCAGCTGCAAAGTTCTTTGACCACCCATCAACAACTTTGCTCAGCTCATTTATGAGTCCCCAGCTCATGCAACCCTTTTATTCTCTTGGATGACCACATGGCTGCTCTCATCGAAAATTCCAAAAAGATTCCAGAACATTATTCGAAAAAGGAAATTACAATATTAATGGGATCCAGGCCTGAAACTGAATATTACCCTCTGATCACTCATACTGTCTCCAGACAATCTCCTCATCCTCTGCCAACGCCACCTGCCCCTTCCTGTTCTCAAAGGACCAGAACTTGAGTACCTCCTAGATGTCTCAGATTCCTGCCTCCCAAATCTTGTTGATGCGCTGAGTAACTCTGACATCGAAAGCCCCCTCTCAAGATCAAGCCCAGAATCATAATTAGAAGCTGGAGAATGAGGTTGAAAAGGATCAAGCAAGTGACCCAAATTGGTACAAATCCTGACATCCATATCAATGGACAAATCCTCTTGGCTACAACTTCTGGATCCCAGTTCTTTTGTTTCATCACACTCGTTACACACTAGTTTCAAGGCCTGAACCACCTCACCCATAAAAGGTCGGTGTGATACCTCAGGTTGAACACACATTGAAGCAATAGCAGCTACTTTAGCAATGCTATCGAAAGGAAAATTAGGGCCCAGAGATGGGTCTACAGTAGATTCTAAAAGTTCTTTACTAGTGAGGAGTGGACGTGCCCAGGCAACTAAATTCTCTTGACCTGGAGGCTGAGACATGTCTACGGGTTTTCTTCCTGTTATGAGCTCAAGAAGGACTACTCCATAGCTGTAAACATCACTCTTCACAAGAAGATGCCCAGTCATTGCATACTCTGGAGCCACATATCTGGTTAATTTTAACATCAAACAAAAGAAAAGTTACAAGTATAGACATGTAGAAAGTGAAAAAGGAGAAAATGAAAAAAGTACAAGGGAAGAAGAAAGGCACCAACAAGAGAGCAGATAACAGGAGTTCAAGAACATTTTCGTAAATCTGGGCATGCGACCATGAATTGTTCGAATCACTAGTGTCTACTGGGAAAAATGCTACTCTCTGCATACTTTATTTGTCAAGACTGCCACTTGTACTTGTTCCGTGTTTATCATTTTTGTATGACATTTAACATGGGCTAAGCAAGCAACGTTGCTTGGTGCATTAGTAAGTCAGGCTTTAGTGATATTTTTTGAGGCCTTGTCCCAGTTTAATCCCAAACAGAAACAGCAAATTTCATGCACTCCCATCTTGAAAGCGGGGGAAATTATCAGATACCTCCTAATGCTAGTGAACATGCCACGTTCTTACTATAGGTTTGATGTAATTATCAGGATTCAAGATGTAGATGCATTGCAAAACCTGATAATAGCATGTATCACCCAGGGTAATTTGAGGATTGCTCTTATGCCTTGCCTCAAGTGGTGAACAAGTGAAGTAGGATGGGTTGATCAGAGAATTAGATGGAGTCAGGTTGCAACAAAAAAGAAAAAAGAAAAATGCAACAAAAAGTTTTGACAAAAAATAACATACCCAAAAGTTCCCATGACACGAGTTGAAATGTGCCTGCTTTCCTCATCCAGTGCAGTCCGTGCAAGACCAAAATCAGATACTTTGGGCGTAAAATCACATTCCAATAAGATGTTGCTGGACTTGAAGTCTCTGTGTATGACACGGGGACTTGAATCCTCATGAAGATAGGCTAGACCCCGAGCAGCACCCAGCGCTATCTTCAATCGTGCACCCCAATCTAGTGGAGCAGTTTTCCTGTGAACACCTGAAAGCAAGCAAAACATAAAAAAGTACAGCCATTCTGCAGATAATTTTTATAAAAATATCCACTCAAAGCTGACAAATACAAATTCATACCATGTAGATGAGATTCCACGCTGCCATTTGGAATGAGTTCATATACTAAGCAGCGAGAGCGCTCCTCTGTACATATGCCAATCAACCTAACCAAGTTTCTGTGATGAAGGCGGCTAAGCATCTCAACTTCGGCCAAGAATTCACGACCACCCTGCTGATCATCTCTCTTAAGTACCTTGACAGCCACTTTTGTCCCATCTTCAAGCACACCACTATAAACACGACCAAAACCACCTTCACCAAGTATTCTTGAAGCATTAAAGTTATCGGTTGCTCTCTCTATATCATTCGAACTGAATGTCTTAGCAGAACCAGTATAAGTTGCAAAACTAGATTCAAATGATAACGAAGAACTGGGCCCACTCCCAATCATAGATGCAGCAATCCCTGCAATATATATTTTCTCTTATATGTTGGGATTAATTACACTTCTCAATAAAAGACCCAGCAGTCAGCACATGGCAAGTGCCAAATACGTTTTTTTTTTGCTATTAAGCCAAATATGTACTATATGCATTCTACATAAGAATTTCAAGAAGCATATTAACTACTCATTTGTAGATTTGATATAAAACATCAACATAGAAATTGGTTAGAAAGAACAGTCACAGGTATATCTAAGGATAAGGACCAAATAGGCCAGCCACAAGGTTTTCTGGAATTCATATATTTGAGTTTAAGTTGGGCAATTGGCCCTTTTAAAGGCTCCAATCATCGCGAAACATACAGAAGCTGGCTGCACTAGTTTATAATAGTAATTACTGATATTACCTGAGGATTTTGCTAGGGAAGGCAGCACAGTTGGTGGAGTTGGCTCCGGTTGGTACATGCGGTTTCTATGTTTGAACAGCAAAACCCAAGCAACTGCACAACATAAAATCACCGCTATGGAGGCTGACAAAACTATTATTGCAATGACGCTGCTATTTAACCCATCTTTATGCTGTGGCCTCCTCACATCAACCCCTAGGGGGTGTATGGTACTTGCATTATTGTCATGACCAGGATACGGCTCACCATTTATAATACTAATGCTTGAAGGTGCCGAAGGTGGTGATGGGGGAAGACCTATTAGTGCAAAACTTCAACATGGATACCTAGTACTTAAATAATGAACATAAAAATGAGCCAAGAAAGTGAGGATTGGTATATATACCTGGATAGTGCACATACAAAACTTCATAATCACCAAAGAATGAAGGTTTTATAATAACTTCTTTGTTCCAGAATCTCTGATATGTCAGATAAGCCGTAGTATTATCAAATTTTTCTCCAAGTGGAACCAAATCAAGGAGAACAATTGTCTTTTCTGGATCCTGGCTGGCTGCATTTGCTCCCATGATGCGAACTTGACTTTGCTGCATAAATACTCCAACAGCAATTTCCGTAGCCAGCTCTGAAACCAGAGGGAAGAAGGTATACAATGCTACACTAAGGCGTAGTCCAACTTGCATGGGCCAGACACAGCCACATGGTGATCCAGGGGGCATATTAGTTAATGGGTCCGTGCATGTAAGTGAGGTACAATCTACAAATTGGACAAAACTACACATCAAAATTCTGTTAGTAAAGCAAGAGTTAACAAATTAAGCAGATACAAAATTTAGGGCAAAGAGAAGCTGGTTCTTATTACCTTCATTAGGCGGAGGAGGTGGTAGTGCTTGAATTCGTGGCAGGAGCGGCATCTTTGGATTCCTTGGTGAAGACCCAGAAGGAGAAATTTTCGGGGGGGAAAAGGGCACTTGCAAATGCAAAAATGATCAATAGAGAAGCACCAATCAAGCAGCAGATCGAAAGCAAACTTTAAGAATATCTCTAGCCCTCCTATAAATGAATGCGAGAAAAATGAGATTTCCTTACTTTCAGTTTGCACAGATGGAGCTGTTGGAGATGATGGGGTTGCAGATGAAATAGGGCTCTCAGATGATGGAAATGGCGAATGGGATGGGGAGACTGAAGAGCCTGCCACACAGGAAGTGTTAGAGATTGATCTGTTAGTAAAGCAAGAGTTAACAAATTAAGCAGATACAAAATTTACGGCAAAGAGAGGCTGGTTCTTATTACCTTCATTGGGCGGAGGAGGTGGTAGTGCTTGAATTGGTGGCAGGAGCGGCATCTTTGGATTCCTTGGTGAAGACACAGAAGGAGAAATTTTGGGGGGGAAAAAGGGCACTTGCAAATGCAAAAATGATCAATAGAGAAGCATCAATCAAGCAGCAGATTGAAAGCAAACTTTAAGAATATCTCTAGCCCTCCTATAAATGAATGCGAGAAAAATGAGATTTTCTTACTTTCAGTTTGCACAGATGGAGCTGTTGGAGATGATGGGGTTGCAGATGAAATAGGGCTCTCAGATGATGGAAATGGCAAATGGGATGGGGAGACTGAAGAGCCTGCCACACAGGAAGTGTTAGAGATTGGAAAAAACCACTTGATCTTACAGAATAGACTGGGATCAGAATAATTTCTGAAGCATTCATATACCTGGGTGCAAGGGTGGAGGCGCATAGTGCATTTGGTTATTCTTTGGATCTGATATAGGAAAATATAAAGGAGCTTGAGGGATGAGTGGACTTTCACAGAATATTGGCATATATCATAAGTAGCACATTAACTACCACACTTCTCAAGTAAAAGTACAACCTTGTTCAGTTGAAGTAGGAGGCGGAACAAGATATGATAATGGAGCAGGGCTGGTGATATGTTTTCTTGCATGATGATGCCTGTAAAATGCGGTTGAAGGTAAAGGTGATGCAGAATTAAACCCTGTAGCCGGAGGAGACTTGGGAAATGAAAGAGGAGAAGGAGCAATATTGGAGTGTCTCGTGGCATTGTGCGTGGAAGGAGCTACATCAGGAAAAGAAAAACAAATGTGTTGATTTTCATTTTTGGTTAGAGCTGGATAACATGCCCTATAAGAAGAAAATGACAGCTTTCTGACATACAATCCTTTGGAGAAGGGTTCACAGGTGAATGCTGCCTGGGCATTCCACTAGGAGGTGCAGCAACTGGCATGCCATCTCTGTTCCTGGTAGTGCTTGGTGAAGGAGTTGATACAGGAGAAATACTAGGTTCTGCAGCACCATATCAGATCCAATCAAACAAACAGTCAAACTGAGGTATATTAGCTTCTGTGAATATGGAAGTATCAGCATCTGAAAATTAGTTGTCATCCTAGAATGACCATAAGTAAGTAAAATGGACTCATTAGTCATTACAATTGCAACAATAGGAGATTCTAAATTCTACAGAAATTTTTTCTTTTTTTTTTTTTGGGGGGGGGGGAGTGGCCCGATCTTGTTCTTGCATACAATCAACAAAAGAAAGCCCATCCGAATTATGTGGGGACAGCAATAGCATTCTTTCAGTATCAAATATTTGGCATGGGGTCCTTTCTCACAGTTTCATCTCTTTTTGAGAAACAGATCGATATGGATTAATGAGAGGGAAGTTGCAAGGATGTCAGTTTAAAATTTCTCATAGCAATTTCGTTTTGACTCAAACAAGGTAGTCAAGAGTTACAATTGGACAAAGGTCCATAAAATGTCAACTAATCAAATTGAAAAGAAACCATCTTAAGTAGCACCTCGTAAATTAGATGGAGGTTCTTTAGGCAATGTAGGACGGATGGGTGGTGGATTTCCTGCCAAGTTGAGTGGAGGTGATGCAACAGGCACTGCAGTATTATGTCATAGGATGTATATCAGGTAAATTTTAGTTGGAGATATCTCTAAAATTTGGCACCAGTAATAGCTGCAATAATGCACACCAGGCAAAATGGATGGTGGTACTCCAGGTATGACTGGGTGGGTAGCTGGTGGATTCTGTGTCATATTCCTCGGTGCTGATGCAATTTTCGCAGCATTCCGAAACAAAAGAAGTACGTATGCATTAGAAACAATCTCAACAAGAAATCTAATCATGGGAAAACAAACACACAACCCATTATCACGTACTTGGAGCAATTGGCACAGTGAGTGGAGCCAGCGTCTTGTTTTGATGAGGACTTGGTGGCATGGATCCTGGCATGGGTGGCTGAATGGCAGGTGGATATTGTGGTGACTTACTCGAGGGTGATGCAACTGTTACTGCATCTTCAAACAAAAGATAAAATTTCAACCAGAAATCTAGGGACGTCACATTATAAGCATAATAAGCCATATACCTGGAGGTTGTGGCACCAGCACAGGATCCTTACTTTGAGGCGCTCTTGGTGGCGTTGATGGTGAGATGCCTTGAAAAGCTATAGGGGTTGGAGCTGAAGTGTTTAGCGGCAACAATGTGGGAGTACTTGGTGACAAGGATGGTGCAATACCTTTGCTTGTTTGGGGGGCTGGGGAAGACTTGAGAGGTGGCAACAAAAGTGGAAGGTGTAAAAAGGAGCCTGGACCGTCAAGTCATAAATTAACTTTTTTAAACTGTAATCATATGTTCGATTAAATGTTGGAAGCTCACCATTTGGCTGAGATGCTGGAGCTGATGTATTGCTTCTCAATGGTTTATCTTGGATGACATGACCAGGCGTTCTGTCTCCAATAGGAGAAATTGCAGAAAGACTTGTCGGAGAGGGGGATATATCATATCCTAAAAGAAGAAAAAATCTGCTTAAAAGCTTATCTACTAAAGGGAGACAAGAATAAACAAAGCAGTAAAAAGAGCTAAAATTAAGAATCTGCTTGCTTCTACAGCTCACTTATGAAGCTCTATGCATCTATCTGTTGTCTAGGTCACTTTTAGGAACAATTCTCTTAACAGAGTGTGGACAAGTTAATCTAATTAGAGATGACACATGAATCTTATATGCGAATAAAATGTGCCCAAGTTCAAGGGATATTGAGCAATCATCATCAACAACATATGGGTAACCTTAAAAACTACAAGCAGCTCAGATCAAGCCTCAACAAAAAGCATTCCTCAGATGGGCCTCAATTAGGGCTATTAATCAAACTGAACTACTCGATCTTGGCTTGAATTTGGCTCGTTTAGGCTCAGTTCGTTTTCCAAACAAGCCCGAACTTGAACAAGTTTCTAGACTTATTTAGAAAAAAAGCCTATTTATGTGCAAATACTCGAGCTTTGCTCGGGTTCGACTTGTTTTTGGCTCGTTCAAACTCGGCTCGTTTCCTAAACGAGCCGAATTTGAACAATTTTTTTAAGCTCGATTAAGAAACAAGTTTTTCGAGCTCGGCTCGGACTCGTTCAACTAACAGCCCTAGCCTCAATCGAAAGCATTCCTCAGATGAAACCTGATCTGGGTTTCATAAAGCTAAGAAACTGGAGAAAAGTACTGTTTGAGACACTACTGAAATTGGTGAAATAGATCGATATGAAATAGCCAATTAAGTTGTCTGGAAAAATCTACATAAGAACCTACATACTTCGACCTTCAGTGACAAAAGTTAAGCTCATGCACATCACAATTTCATCCTCTAAGAAGATTAACATGCTCGGATCACAGAGATGCCAAATTCAGAATACCCGATTTCAAGTTTATCAGCCACTTTACATCATTGGAATCAATCAGACAAAAATCCGTAAAAAACGGACATCATATGTGCAGGTTAGTCCATTAAACAACATTGGCAAGTTAGACATCAATCAACCCAGAAAAAACATCAAACCCACATAAAATTTGGCGAAATATGCTACCAAGTAATTCATATAAGATCAAAACTTTATTTTTAACTGTGAAAATGAAAGACCTACCTGCAGATCCTTGAAAAATTAATAAACAAGCAATGGCACAGACTTTCCCCACAAAGCAAAGAACTTGAAGCATCACCATACCCATCCCATCAAGAAGAAGCCTCAAAAATCTCTAACCCAATCCCAATGATTATATAGGTTATAGGATTAGAACATAAAATAAAATAATGAAAATACCCAATATATTATTTAAGTGAAAAGACTGATGACTTGAAGCAACAACAAAAGGAAGGTTAGAAAAATTAAAGAAGACCCACAAATAGTGAGAGAAAAGGAATGAAGAGACAGTTTTTCAAACAAGAAAAAATGGGTTTTGGTTCTACGAAATGAATCAAAGCAATCAAGTTTCTCCAAGTGTGAGCAGAATCAAGCTATGATTTTCTTGGAGCTTTGAGATTGGCATCTTACTTACACAACCGTTTCGACTGACAGGTGAGTTATTACAGAGTATTAAAAACTGACCAGCTAAGCAAAACTGAAAACAACTGAACGAAGACAACACCCTGCTTTTATGGTAAGTAACAGACACCTCTTAACGGAAGGGGACGGGCGGTTTGTACTCGTAAACTTTTTTCATTTCCGAGAAATTGGAAAAAGTTTTATTCTATCACCTTATATATGGATTATGGACTCAGAGAGAGAGAGAGAGGTTTATTGGTAGGCTCGAGATATTACTAGGATTTATTGGTTAATGGAATTATATAGAAAGAAGAGCGATTACTGTAATATAGGAAAGGATGAATTATACTTTGAACCCTAAAAAATTTTAAGATTTTTATTTTATATATTCAAATATTAAATTTCTTACATTGTACTTTCAATGTATCAAAACTGTTGTAATGTAACTCTTTTCTTAATTTTTCATTAGTTTTTTTGTGGGTGTTAATTGATTGACTTTTGACGAAAAAAATAACAGAAGTTAACAGAAGGACTATATTACAACACTTTTGATACATTGATAATATAATGTGAAAATTTTAATCTTTGAAAATATAAATAAAAATCTTAAACTCTTTTAGTGTGTAAAGTGTGAAAAACCCTACAGAAAAAGGATTATAGCAATATATATGCAATTCATAAAAGAATAAATACGTACATAAAGATAGAGAGGTTATGACTGATAATTAAGTCAAGTTATTTGGACTTGTTTCGAATATGACTCAATTCGAGTTTAACAATTTTTTAAACTTATATAAAAACGAGCTTGCAAAATTTGACTTATTTATATGTAAAATAGATTTATTCGGGCTTGGCTCGAGTTCAACTCATTTTGAGCTTGACTCGAGCTCGATTTATTTTCGAAACGAGTTAAACTTGAATAATTTGTTAAATTTATTTAAAAAAAAATGAACTCAATAAATTCAATTCAAACTTATAAAATTCTGCTTGATTAATATTTTTACGTGGGACTTTTGCCAAATGTTTAGTGGGTGAAGAAGTTTGGAAGAGTTTGTAATTGAGAGTGGACCAACCTGGAGTTTGAAATTCTAGTGTTTATTTAAGGGGGTTGCTTGACCCCTTTTACTTCATAGTTATAGGTGGACTTTTTTGTGGCTTGTGTTGAAAGGTAATTGACAATCGACCTTTCCTTTGGATCGTTTGTGTTGGAAGCTAAACTTTATAGAATAAATTTTGTCCAACATAATCGCACGATGAAACTGTGTGATTAAAATAAACACTGTTTTCTTGTATAATATATTTACAAAGAAAGATTAATTTATTTACAATAAATATCAACTACTAGTTGGTAGATGTGATATATGGAAAGGGTCATATGAACATTCAATGGTTCTAGAAGGGTCACTTTTCAAGAGGGAGAGGGCAGGAAAGACCAAAATATCCTCACATTTTTGAAATTATTTGGTGTGCCAATGAGGGCAGCATTGTCTTTGGACCAACACTTGTCTATATGAATCACTAATATGATATGAATCCGAAAGAAAGATTGACCTAAAAAATGTACAAAAAAGATGACCTGGGTCTTAAGCATTATTACCCAAAAAGGCTTCCATAAGATAAACTACCACCTAAAAGTTGCCTAAAAGTGCTTAATTAGCTTTGTGCATATATGCATAGGGGAAATGTATCATAAACTTTCCCCCATGCATATATGCACAGGGGAAAGTTTATGATACCGTCTTTAGTATCGTACTATCACTTATAACTTTTATGATAAAATTACAATTTAAAAGAGAAAAGTTATATATGATCGAGGAGATCATAATCGATCACAAATAGATATGATCGATCATAGAATTTCCGTGAGCAATTGTAATTTTCCTTTATGAGTTGTAATTTGACTTTTGAAAATTATAACTTCATTATCAATCTCAATCTATTATGATTGATCATAACCTTTAAAATTTATAATTTATACCTCAAAAAAATTATAACTTAATCTTAAATGAGTAAATTTTTGTACAATACTTCTTCCGATACCGTTGCCCTTCCCAAATGAGGGTCAATGAAACTGTCATCTCAATTTTCATTGTAAACGGTCCTGCTCTTACGCAGTACATCACTCAAACCGATGTCATTTTGATACAACAAGGAGCTGTGCACGATTATAAACTAGCCCATCCACCTCTATATGTGATCAAGAAAAACCGGGGGATAGTAGTGCTCAGTAAAAATGCCTAGTGAACAACCACAATAGTATTTTTTTCAAATACAATAATGACTGTTTTTTGTAAATATTATAGCATATTAAAAAAAATAACAGTTGAATTGATATGTTAAAAAAATAGGCAGTCAATGCACAAGGCTTCCTCTACCTTGAAGTCAGTGGAGGAGGGATATACAATTTTACCTCAATATGCAAAGAAACTATTTCTATAACTTAAACAGTGTACCTTCAATTCACAATGAAAAAGTTGAATTGACATGTATATCTATGAAAATAAAAAATACAACCGTGTCTAAAAATTCTGACATAACTTAATTGATTCAAGTTATAATTTGAATGGATTGAGTAACGAGTTACAAATTGTAAAGTCTATGAACATCGATTCAAACAAAATTTACAATCTATCATACATTTTTTTACCTTTATTAACCCGTAACTTCGCTTAATTGAATTGTAATATAACCTGATTAAATCTTCGTTCTTTTGGTTGTTGTTTTTTTTTTTTTTAAGAATTTGGTATGGTGTAGTCTTTTGCATGTAAAATACAAGTAGGAAAACATAGATAAATAAAGAGGGAGGGAGTGAGGTTTGTTTGTAGTGCAAGGAAGATGGGTGTGATGTTCTGTGATATTAGAATTTGTGGGACGTTTGGTTGGCAAGAATTTTACGTGTTTAATTTCTTTTTTAGGGAAACAGTCCCACTTTCCTAATTGTTGAAGTCATCACAGAAATACTGTCCCACGTGGGCAGATCTATACCTGAAATAATGAAATATACCTACACTTTTTTTTTGGAACCTACCGAAACCATGTGATTTCTCACAAGTCATACCGTTATTAAGGATGTAGACAGGCCAGGCATTATAAATCTCGTGGGTCATCTAGATCACCGGTGGGTCCTTCGTATTTTTTTTTTTTTTTATCAATCAATAGTTAAAATTCACGACTATAATCAATTTCGATATGAAACAGATTGTGGTACCACAGTCATCTCTTCTTTTTTTTTTTGGGTAGTTGAATCGAATTACACGCACCTCAATTAATTTCATCTCCGATCCGATCAAAGACATACTATTCACACTAAAACTAAGAAATTCATGGATAAATTCTTTTTGACCTAATCTCAAATAAATTATCAAGTTTTAAATTCACGACGTCTAAATTTATACAAATCCTTCATTGTAACACAAATCCTGAATGTGAACTACAGGTAACTATGCACACAGTTTCTTAAAAATTCTTCTCCAACTACAAAAAATCGTTGCTACTTATTCTTTTCTCCTACTAGGGCGCCGTTTCTTGTTCACAAATCAACCTACTAAGTTTGACACAGTTTAATTGTGCAATGTGCATTTGTATTTTTGTGCCGCCCGACATAGTAAACTCTTTAAAATTGACAACTTTCTAACAAGAACGGCTAGTAACTGACCCACCTCTCATATAAGATTAGTTTCACTTGAACAAGCAAGTGATCTGCCACTGAAAACATTTAAAGAAAAAAAATACTAAATGATATTTAAATATGTGGCCACTACCAAAAAAAAAAAAGGAATGTGTATTGTTAAGGCTGAAAAGAGACCACACATTTAACTCAGCATATCCCCACACTAGGTCGGTGGCTCATTCCAAACCCAAGTCTCAAGGAAACTTTACAGCAAAAATCAAGTTTTTGACTTTTTAAGAGTGTGACCACAAGCTGTAAATTCCATGAGGATGCTGCCCATGTTTAAACTTGTTTGGGCAGGAGTAGTACTGGATTGCTGCTGACCCCTGGAAAGTCCTCGTGTCGAACACCATTTTTAAAAATGAAAAGACAAATAATCTAAGCACAATTTTGAGCCTGAAGATAATCTCAACACCTTATAAGCATGGGAACCAGGTAAGCTAAGAAAAAAATGACCCACAAGAAGAAGTGCTACACATACACAAACCAAGAAATTGTAAAGGGGACCGAAAGGATCCATTTGAGTAAGCCCACCTTCTGTCAATAGCATCTGGCTCAGAAGATAGGATTGATCCAAGGGCTGTGGGGGACGCCAACGTGGATATTATGTGAAGTGGCGTTCTTTCGATAATGAGAATGAGATATTTGTCCAAACTGTTCGCCGGAGATTAGGGCAGTGAATGAGCTAAACAGTGGTATAGGATGGCAACAATTGAGAAACAGGCAATCAGGCAATACCTCAAAGCAAAGGGTAGCATCCAACAGCACTTTGAGTGGCAAAAAATGTCTAATGCACAGAATATTGATTTCACATTCCATACTTTCTGTGATGAAAATCACTGATTTGGGTCATATTCCTCAAATCGGCTCTTGAAACTTTCCGCCATTTTTATTTCTTCTTCTTTGCTGAGCTTACAATTCCTCCAATCGGCCCTGTCTGCCATGTTCAGCAAGCCTGCCAAAACCTACAAATTGTTCGACACAATACAACAGGTCTATCATATAGCCATCTCAAGCAATATTTCCAAAAACAACAGTCTATCATTAATAAGTTTCTATGGGACTCTCGTGGCATAAACAACATGTGTTGAAATTATTTGTAATGGATTGTTCAATATTGTCCTCCAACTTATTGCCAAAACTCCCAATGACGAGTCATCAGCTGAACTTTAAGATCGCTTCATTTTTTTACCCAAAACTTATTAATAGAAGAATGTGAATATAAAATAAAAAGGAGAAGAACCTACAATGCTATAGTGCAAATTATTCAAAAAATTCCATCAACCTGAGGCCAGGCTGACTATCACAAATATACAAGCTATTCAGGACATGTTGACTATCCATCAAGCTGCATGTGAGCCATCATTACAGCCATGTCACCAACGGAATGCCTTATTTCTCTATTTACAACAAAAAAGTGTCTCAGTTCTCACTGATGGCATGACTTACAAAGCTGTTTCATGAATGCATGAAAAGAGAAACATGTAAAATCTGGTGCAAATTTTTGCCCCTAAAATGACAAGGCAAATAAGCATCAATTGGCAACTATGAAGCACGGATACGATATAGATACGGTGATACGGCAAAGTCTAAAAAAGTAAGATACAGGTACGGCCAAGATACGGCTATAATAAAATATTTTAATATTTTTATTATTTTCAACCAGCTTAATACTTATATATTTTGTAGTTTTTTAATATACAATAAGGAAAATTTGTAATTTTTTTTAGTTTCAAGAAAATATATATTGCATCGTTGTAGTATATTCATAAAATGAAGTGACTAATTGAAAGAATCAAAGCTAATATTTAAAAGTAATTTTTACTAAGATAATAATGTAATAGATTTATATTATGCTATTTTGACATGTAATTGTAGATAATACTTAAGAAACACTCATGTGCCTTTGAAATATATGAATTTTTTGTTAATGTATTGTATAGTATGTGAATTCGAAAAGAGATGTTAAAAGTTCAACTCAAAAATTATATATGTTGCTCGACCACAAAAGTATATGTGAAGTATCATAATATTTAATTATTATCGAATACATAGAAGGTGTATCTGATACATTCTCGAGTATCCGACGAAAATCGTATTCGATACGGTATCGGATACGGGTACGTCAACCTCAACAAAGTATCCGTGCTTCATAGATTGGCAAGTTTTCTTAATATTTGCCACTAGCCTCAAGCACATGATACATCTTATTATCAAAAACCTTAATGATGACAACTTATTGTTTCGCAGGTGAATAAAGACAATTGATATCCATAACTCAGTCAGTGTTGTTTATCACCAAACTACATGTTCAAACATTTTGCCAAGGTAAAGAAGTCACAATCTCCCATATGTTACCAGTCGAGTGTTACTATCTCACCTCCCGACCGAATTGCGTGGGGAATTTCTCATTGTCCTCGGCTGCATGTGCCAGAATTGCACCTCCAGGGAGCTCTACATAGAATAAACTGCAATTTCTATCAAACTGCATCCGCAACAGTTTTCTCCCTTCAGAACTCTTATCGCCTGTAACCCAAAGAAACAATAGGATTGATATACAGAAAGTATAAAGCATTTGTTGAGAACCACAAAATCAACCACGGTCAAGTTAAAGAAATTTCGGAACGAAAAACAACAGCAGGTAATATGGGACAGACAAAAACTTGAAGTTGACAAAGATCAACTTCAAGAGGATAGTCGTGGAAAAAGAGGAAAGAGAAAGAAGCAATTGCAGCAGATAGCCACTTAACACACCCCAAAAAATAAAAAATGGGATTGATCTTCTCATTTGCTTACTATTGTTGATAATCACGTTTCCTTCTATTCCAAGTTAGAGCAAAAAGTACCATATCAGAAAAGACTGTAAAGCTAAGATAGGAGGACACCATAGGAGGGAAAAAAAATGGAAGGGGAAAAAAGGCATCTTCATGGGCATCTGTACAGGCCAAGTAAATGGGAACCAATGGACAGCAATTCTCCACATTAATAACTAGAAAATGCTTACTTTCACCATAAATTTGAACCCCAACTTTTCAGCAGCTAAATTGAAAATATCTTGGACAGTAGATGCTCTGGATGATGGAACAGGAATAACCTGCAACAAACATGGATAGAGTCGGAATATGCAGAACATATTAACTTTAAAAAAATATTAAGTGACATAACAAATTGGAAAGTTCTTTATAAACAAAA